AAACCCTAAACTTCAAAACTCTTGCAACAAATGCAAAACAACAATCTCAATTGGACTCACAATACAATTTGTTGTGCAAGATCAAGATAAATAGATGACACAAAATCAAGAAAGAACAAACATAAAATTTATGATGAAGATTAATAGTATTGATGAGTATAAGAATTACACCAAAGAATGAATTCACAATCATGCATGATCTTACACATTGCATCTTCCAGTTCAATCTTTTCTACCCTTATAATGCATCCTATATTTACAGGGTTTCTATGGACTTAATTGACTAACCAAATATGCAAACTAGCTAACTGACCAAGGAACACATGTCAAGTTGTATATATTACTAATACTTATAATGATAGATAAATATCATTGTAGGTAAAAATTTATACATAGATAAAACCTTTAGTGATACGTTATTAATTGTCATTAAATAACCCTTCAAAGTTAACGGAGAAATTGTCCAAATTGAAGTGAATTGCTTAGTTTCCGAAGCACGTATACATACATTCACAGTGACCAGGAAAATTGAAAATGTTAATGCATGGAATTTAATTTGACTAATGACTTGTGCTTTAATGTTCAATACGCCCAATTGTTCTCACTCGGTTCTTATATTTACTATGGGAGTTGTGACTGGTGCTGTTAGAAATATATATATATATATATATATATATATTAATATATTACTAGATGAACTTTTTGTATCGCAAATAAAACAACGATGTTATCAATGAACTTTTTGTATATATATTTAAAAGGGAAAACTCTTTGTTTATTCTCCTCAAAAAACTCAATAGAAAATTAATCAAGTTTTGTGGACCACAAAAATAGTACGTGGTATACAGCGCTTAAATTTGTAAACATAAAAATTGATTTAAAGAAAAATTATTTTTTAAAATTATCTTTACCTAACATCCCTTGAGTAAAAGATAAAGAAATTATGTGTTACATGCAAAGAGTACCTTCAGAAAAATAAAAGTATATAAGAATAACATCTTCGTAAATGATGTCTTGGACGAGGAGACAACAGAAATTAAAGTTGATAAGAATAGTTAACAGCTGCTTTTATTTATAGTGATATATAATAGTAGTGAGAAATATATATATCACGATCACCACAAGAGTTACATATAATCATTTGAGCAGCTTAAACACTAGTTAAAATTGCACTACTTGTTGCCCTTTTGTCCACCATGCAGACCACTGAAGTATCCCTGTGGGTTGCTCTCAAATGATGGACGTGAAATATAAGCTCCACCACCACCAGGGGCTTTCATATACCCCCCTGAACCACCACCACTGCCACTTCCCCCTTTGCTTGAATTTGCACCATTGTTACTGTTGCCATTGCTACAACCTTTACCACTCATGTTTCAGATGATCACTGCAGAGACTCGCTCAAATAACTGAATTAGTAGTAGTTTCTGTAAGAAAGCTTTAAGAAATGGATGTGAGATAATTTTAGTTCGTTAGCTATTTATAGAAGAGAAATGTTACGTAGTAATTAATGTTTACTGGTAAATTTCTTAATCATAATTAATGACACTAGAAATAAAATTAAAGTTCTCTGGTTATTCCCAACGAATAATGCTTGAATTCATGCATGTTGCCAGCAAAATCTTTAGATGCATTTGACCGTGTCTTCAGTTTCAATATCTTTCATCCTTCCCAATGGATGTTAAACTAATTAACCATAAATGGCCAGAGGCAGTAGGGGGGTTTTTCCACTTGCATAAATGCATGGTCTATTGTTAGTTATCAATGTGGACGTATTTCTTCTATTATACCTCGAGTTTTAATTAGTCTTATAAATTCCTAGGCGCAAAACAAAAGGCATTACGTTACTTTATTTGTATGTATACATGTGTATATGTTATGTGTATATGTTAGTGAGATATTGTGAATATTATAATTCGATAATAGTGTTTAAAAAATAAAAGATTTTTTTGGCTTTTCTTAATTATTATTATGCAATTTTTTATTTTTTCTATTAGGGGTTAAAATTATCAAAATTATTATATAAACTAAAAAGAAATAATTATTTATATAAATATAGATTAAATAGTTTTTTAGTTCTTTAACTTTTGTAAATTTTAAATATTAGTCTTTGAATAAATTTTATTTGGTTTTAGGCTCTTAAATTTTTATCTATGAACAAAAAAAATGATGCTAGAAACTAAAAATATTTGCTATAGCAATATTAACTTAGTATACTACAATTTTCAATTGACACATGCAATAGTTACTCATTTTTTGTACCTTAAAAGTGATAAATAGTCTTCTTAATTATATAGAAAATGACAATTTGGATAAACTTATTATTGCGTACATTCAATGCACCAATAGACATCTTATTCTCTATAAGGGAGGAAGATGAAGCAAACCTACGAGTGAAGCTCAAAGATTTGCAACAGTCATATTCATCAAGAACCTATATAATGAAGATGAAACCCTAAATCCTAAATCATATGGTTGGACTACGATGATCATATTCGGTATGTGAGTAAAACAAGGATAGATATGAGGTGTTGTGCAATGGAGACCATTTTGGCGGATAGTGGAGTGAAGTCTTGGTGTTATTGTTGTGTTGTACTAGGTATTGGAGTTGTTTGACCGACAACTTAGGTAGCATATATAGTTTACTTTTATCGGATAATTGTATTTATATCATATTTGTTTATTTAGTTGTTTCTTTCTCAAGGGTATGATATATATAGCACATGCTTTAAATATCAATAGGCTTATAATTCTAAGGAATTAGTTGTTATTCTCTACTAGTTTTATGTTGTTTAGTGTAGAGATCATGGTAGGTCATTACACTTTTATGGTATCAAAGTTAGGTTAAGTCTTTTTTAGCACTATTGAGGGTGATCTCAGTAGATTTATATTGTGTAGTACTCTATGTTGTGTGGAACAATTGTTGATAAGTTGTTGAGTGATTGTTGAGGGTGATCATGGTAGTTATTGTGTAGTGTTAGTGAATGGTTTGTTGATATCTATAGAAGATGTCTAGATCCAAATGAGCAAATAGCCCATTTCATGAAAATGATGGTCATGGCTATGCAACAATAAAACACCTATTTTGCTCAAGCGGAGGCACAAAGAGTTGTAGTTGAGGTAGCAAGACCAAATAGATCTCAGGAGAGTCAAGACTTAGCAAATTTTCAAAAGTGCCACCCTCCTTAGTAAACAAAGATGTAGATCTAGACATAGATGGTCACTATATCTATGAGATGGAGAAAATATTTACTGTGTAAGGATGATCCCAAGAAAGGAAGTTGGCATATGCTATATAGTTGCTGGTTGGGAAGGCGTGGTATTGGTGGCGTGGTACTCAGTAGATGTTGGTTGCTAGAGGATGTTGATCAAGCTCAAGATGAAGACATGGCCTTAGTTGGTTTTGATGATTACAAATAAGCCTCTTGAAAGATAAGAGTGCAACTTCTAGTTTTGTTTTGTGTTTTGAGTCTCTTGAAAGAAAAGAGTGTAATTTGTATCTTATTTTTGTCTTTAAAGCTTTGTTACTTGTGTGTTTTGTGCTTAGTAAGTAACTTAGCCTTAGATCTTTATCAAGATGATGATTGATAAAGAAATAAGTTTTAAAATTAATTTGTAAGGAGAAATGGTATGAAAAATCAAGATATTAATTTTTTACTGAAAATAATCTATTATCTTAAGTAATAAATAATTATTTTCTCAATCTTTTATTGATCTAAATATAAGTTTTTGTAATAATTAATTATTTTAGAAACTAATTTTTGGAATAATCGATTATTGCTCAAGATAATTAATTAAATTGTTCTTGGTTGATTTTTAGATTTATTAAGAACAAAATAATTAATTATCCATATAAATAATCAATTCTGTCAGAAAACTTTTATATCATTTATCACACTTAGAACAAAGAGACTTGAATCTTTGTGATATTTTTTTCAAAAAAAATACTCCCTAAGAAATGTTTTTCTTTCCAAGAAAATGTTCAATTACCTTTGTGGTAACCTTAAGAAAGATTTCAAGAATTGAATTGATCATCATATTCATGGAGTGATAGGATAAGTTATTTGGTTGGTGCACCTACTTTGATTTATTTTGCACATCAGGTGAATTTGTTCCTTAACTTTTGTATTGTATTTTTCTTAAGTAGGTTTCTTAAGAAAGGAAAATCTTGTAGTGGGGTGCTACAAGTAAATGCCTTTTGGAGTTCAAAAAGTAGTTTCTTTAATAGTGTAGAAGTGTATTGCATGTGGTATAGTGATTGTAAAACTTTTGATACTAAAGATTAATTAGTAGAAAATCTCAATTGAGTTGATTAGAGACTAGATATATAAGTCACAAGTAGATGTGATTGAACCAATATAAATTATGCATTTTTCTCGCTCCCTACACTTGACTTTACATTCTTGCTATTTTGTTTTTATGCTTGATGTTCACTACTACAAAATGCATATTTTTACAAAATGCATATTTTACATCGGTTCTTTAAAGTCATCTACATCGGTTCTAAAACCGATGTAGATTGCATTTTTTAAAAAAAAAAAAATCATTCTTATTTTTGGATTATTTCTGATTACCTGTAATTAAATACAAATGTATGCACTAGACTAGAGCCTATGTTAATGTTTATAAGCAAAAGTATTTGATCATGAAGAGAAGCCACAGCCAAGTTACCTACATATGATGCCAAAGTTCATATCAAAATTAGACTAGATATGACTTATATTAAATTATATAAAGCTACCATGCAAACTAATTCTTGCCAGTTATGGTGTGTATCAAATACCAAATGGAAGTTACAGAAAAGTATAGGAAATAAACTTTTTGCAATAGACAATGATAAGGTAGTATTTTAATTAAGGAATTGAAGCAATAAATTTGGAAGTAATGGCAACGCAATTGCGTCAATTAAAATATAGCAGCGCAATTCTAAGGCCAGTTTGGATAAACACCACGGTAGGAAATTATAGAAAAAGAAAATAAAGTAAACTAAGGAGACAAAATTCATCAAACTTCTTGCAGAAGTTAAAATCAACCTATACACGTAAATTTTTTTTAAGAGTTCCTTTGTCTAACTTGACTTAAAATCATGAACCATTAAAAAGCTCTCCCAAGTTAGACACGAACCTAAACTTTACCGAGCAGAACTGCACTGCACCATTAAGTTTATCCCCAAAGTCCATGTTCCATAACGCAGACAAGTCTTGTTGAATAACAACATCATCATCCAAAACCACAACTTTCTCCAAATTGCTGAATAAATCAGGAAGTAAATAGTGTGAATCAGAAAAAATTGAAAGGTATTCTATTCTAATATGTTTCATGGATGGATAATCATAACCACAAAATGATACATTCAGCACTTGAACAGAAGCTTCCTTATAATGGTTCCTCAAGAACCAGAGCTTCATTGCATAATAATTTTCTCCATCAGTCAACACATGAAAAACCTGATTTGAACTTTCCTGAAAAATTTCACAACAAGAAGTAAAATTATTATTACATCAGCTAAAATTAAACTTGTATCAAATCAGTAGTGCATGACTAGATGCATAGCATACCTTTGCATGAAATACAATGGAGTTGATAACCACTGAAGTTGCAAGCACATTATTAGAGAAAATAACATAATGGTGTAATGATGAATCAATAAACTTTTCCTCATTAGTCTTCTCTTCATAATTAGGGGATTTGAAATATTCTACAGTTAGTTTCAGTGACAGGTAGTGAAGACTCTTTGGCATTGTCTGAACATTAAGTATATAAACTACGCAGATATATATATACAGAAGTGAACATGTAACCAAAAGATGAGTTTATACACTAATACTAGTGCATCTAAGAATGGAAATTTTGAAGCAAATTTCAAAACGTACTAATTTAAATTTAACAAATGATTCATGTTTACTAATTTTTGAAAAGAAAAACAGTATTGATCAATTCAAAAAAATGAATCAATAATAGTATTACTCAGTTTAAGAATTAAAAAAAAAAAATCAGCATTGAACATTAAATTTACCAGAATGAGCATGTGCATACTAAGCATGCAAAATTCATATGAAAAACTAAAGGACATTGTCACTGAAAACAATGAATGCACAAAAAAATTATTTGATTTTAATGGTTTAGTTTCAGATATATTGTAAAATAGGTGAGATTTGTTATACAATTAAATTTGATTTTAACTAAATATATTATTTTTCTTTTCCAGACTTGTTTTATTTTGCTCGTTAAAGATATAATACAAGGGCAAACATTAGCACCATAGCTGTCAATCCCAAATAGTTGCATAGTAACCGACCCTCAACATGCTATACTGAAATAATGAGAATATGATGCGGGTGCTATTCTAACCAATATTAGAATAAAAAATTAAGGCTAAAACTTAGAAGCGAACACGGTGAGATGAAATGAACGACCTGTTTTAGAGAGATTAGAAAATAGAACAATGCAGGGAGAAAATAGAGTAAGGCGGTAAAAGTTATGCAAGGCCGGACAGAGTGACAGTTGCAGAGGAAATTTGACATTTTCTGTTCAGCAATGTTCCTTTATATAAAACAGGAGTCTATTAAAATCCAGGCGAAAGATGAAGCAATATCAAAAGTGTTTTGCTACAATCTTACCATCCATATCACAGAAGATATAGCTAAACTTTGGTTTGTAAAATCGAAGACTGCCTTCTTTCTTCCTGTCTTTTGACAATTCATCTATAAGATTATTGCCCCATACATTTTATGCAAATGATAGTTACTTGAATTAGAGGGAAATATATAAAACCAATAAATTAAAATTATGCAAGTTGAGGATTGCTGAGGCATACTAGTAAAAAATACAATTGCCATCTGAACTGTCTTGGTGAAAATTTGAGTTTGTTTCAACATCACATGCACTCTTTATTAGCCCTTTTCCCTTCCAATCAAGACTTCTTAAAAGGATTTCCTCCTCTCTTTCCATTTCTACTTCAGCCTTTTCGCTTATTTCATGATCAAATCCCAAAAGATGTAACAAACCATGAACCTGCAAATAGATAAAGTAATTGATGTTCTCAAGTTCATCCTTTCAGTTCAAACAACGTAGACATAGTATTATAAGATAAAATTCCAACATGCTCAGTGTAGTATCTATTTTAAACACACCACGCCAAGAAATAAATGAAACTCCAGCTCACTTTCCACTTATGCTGGCAGCAGAAGACAGGTACCATAATCTAAAATAATAAACATCAGTAACAAACAGAAAATAGTCAAAATATCATGAAACCAACCATGAGGATTCAGATCTCATCAAGAAGAGTGTGCCCTCTTTCCTCTGCTTGTCTTGCTGCTATCTCAACAGAAATTACAATATCACCCAACATAAGCTGTAAACAATGGAATTCATCACACAGATTAGCATTCCAACATGTAAGTTCTAAACTTTATTGTCTACAACACCCTGCACAACTTATAAATTCCTTTCCAATTTCCCAAAAGCTGACCCAACACCTACTATCTGAACAACCATATTTAGTCCATTTTGAAAACTAAAAATAGTTTTTGAAAACAGAAATCAAACACACTCTAAGTAACCCAACGAGTTGGCATGACCTTTTCAGTAGGAATTCTGATTTCAATTCTTGCCAGGAGTGAAAACCCTTTTTGTCGGCGACAATCACAGTACCACAAGCAAAATTAATTTTGCCCAGTGGGCTGGAAATATCCGTAGCAAAAAAAAAAATAAAACACTAAGATTTTCAATGTATTAAACTCAAATACCAGAATGGGGTTCTTCAACCATCGCAACAGCCTCTTCATCTTGATTTTCACACTCATCCACATCAGGCTGTTTCTCTTTCAAAATTTGCTCGTCTAGCACCGAAGCAAGATCCGCACCTGCAACTAAACCAGCACATATACATATTAAGCACAACATGAACATTTTAACCCTCACACGGTCCCCTTTTCTATCCAATTTGAGAAAGCACGTCGCACGTGCACAATCACAAGCATTCCCACTTCCAGCAGTGACCAAGCCCACAAACCCTAGAACAATTTGGAGAAAAAGAAGAGATGGTACCGGTGTCCCTTTTGATATCCTCGCGGCGGCGCTTACAGTGGAGAGCCCAGTCGGCAATAGTGGAAAAAATAAATTACCAGCTTTCGAAGTTTCTGATGAACGCAGTTTTGAGGATCCGGCAAGGCTTCTAATAGTCTATTCAAAGAATACAATGCGTTCAATTCTGCAAAAACAAACCCAAAAAAAGAAAAGAAAAATTCATTAGAAAAGGGCTTCAATGCATTCAGAAAGAGAATGGAAAACCCTAGTTCTTGAGGACCTACGGTAGTTGCACTAGTAAACAATGAAAAAGGCATCACCTTAGTACACGAGAGTAGACGATTAGTTGAGGAACACGCGAAGAATTTTTCGCCAATTAAAAAGCTTCCTACGCATGGAGTTGGAGAAGCGCGCACTGATGAGAACGCAGGAGATCGTTCTTGTGTTTGGAAATGTCTTCCAATTCTACATCGGTCACGAATAAAAACGTTGTAAAATAATAATGCCCTTCTAATTCTACATCGAGCACCAACACAAACGATGTAGAAAACTTTTAGGATTTAAATTCTACATCGGTCACCACCAGAACCGATGTAAAAATACTTCATATTTACATTGTTTGTTCCCAGAACCGATGTAAATATCCTTCTATCTTCTATTTAATTACAAAAATACCACCGCACTTTTATTTTACATCGGTTTTCTTAAAACCAATGTAGATATCTACACGATGTTAAATTGTGCTTTTATAGTAGTGCTTATGTGTTATGAGACATAAACATTACACATAGAATTGAGTGAATTTAGACTTGCATTAAATCTGAACTTGATATCCTATATACAATACAAGAAGATCTGATAAACAAATAATCTAGTTGCAATACAAAGTCTAGCAACTACATAAAATAAACAAATACACATAACAACATTAAAGCCATATAAACGATTGCGTATAACGGATTCACCACACCTTCAAAAAACCAAACCCACTGAACACAAAAATGGTGCACCAGTTTGATTTTTAACCATAAAAAATTGAACTTTTGTGACAATGTGCCACAGGAAAAAGTGAAGAAGGAAGTTTACCATGATGAAATTTGAACACAAATCCCCTATTTTTATTATTCAATCGCCAAGCCTTCAATAATAATTAGGAAAATAAAAAAAATTATAGGAGCACAACACCCTAATTGTGGTTCTATAAAAAAATTAAATGAACAAAAAAATGGGGAAATCCAAGAGGAAGGTGGAGTCACTCACTCATATTCAAAGTTGAAATGATAGAATGAATGCTCTGCGTCTGTGAGGAGAATGGTGAAGAATAGTTAAGGTTTAGATAGAGAAGGGAAACAGTGAAAAATATTAGGGGAGGGCGGAGGGAAATGAAATGAAAAATACGAGGGAAAGGATAAAGAAAGAATATAACTAAGACCTCCATATAAAAGAATTAAAACACCCACTATATTATCATTATTTTAGACAATATGTAAGAACACAATAAATCATTTTAATTTGTGGGGTTTTTTTATAACCTCTCCAAAATAATCCCATTAAATAACACTTTTTTTTTGTAGTATATATTACTTGCATTAAATGTGTTTTACCACACTACAAGAAAAATTATCATTATCTACGGAATATTATCTATGGAATTTTTTTCCGTAGATAATGTTTAGTTATCTACGAAATATTATCTACGAAATTTTTTCCATAGATAATTTTTAGTTATCTATGGAATATTACCTACGGAATTATTTCCGTAGATAATATTCAGTTATCTACGGAAATTTTCGTAGATAAGTTATCTATGGATTTTTTCGTAGATAACTTATCTACGGATTTTGCCGTAGATAACTTATCTACGAAAATTTTCGTAGATAACTTCACCCATAGATAAATTTCGTAGGTAAAACATTTTATTTGAAACATTAGTTAACATATTTTATTATCTTTTGATTTTAATTTATTGTAATATAATTAAAATATATAATTCAGCATTATTAAAAAAATAATCACTATAAGATTTAATTTTTTTAATTTAATTATTTATTATAATATTTTTAGTCACCGTATTGACCAAAAAATATATTTTGATTAAAATATATTTTAAAATTTTAGTTAATTCATTATAATATTTTAAAATAAATATTTTTAAAAATTGTCATTAGATAAGTTATCTACGAAAATTTTCGTAGATAAGTTATCTACGGAAAAATCCGTAGGTAACTTATCTACAAAAAAATCCATAGATAAGTTATCTATGGATTTTTTTGTAGATAAGTTATCTACGAAAATTTCCGTATATAACTTTACCCGTAGATAAATTCTGTAGGTAACACATTTTATTTGAAACATCAACTTTATTGTAAAATAATTAAAATATTTAATTTAGCATCATTAAAAAAATAATCATTATAAGATTTAATTTTTTTAAAATTTAATTATTTATTATAATACTTTTAGTCACCGTATCGACCAAAAAATATATTTTTGGTTAAAATATATTTTAAAATTTAGTTAATTCATTATAATATTTTAAAATAAATATTTTTAAAATTGTTATTAGATAAGTTATCTACAGAAATTTCTGTAGATAAGTTATCTATGGAAATTTCCATAGATAATTTATCTATGGATTTTTCTGTAGATAAGTTATCTACGGAAATATCCGTAGGTAACTTATCTACGGATTATTCCGTAGATAAGTTATCTACGGAAATTTTCGTAGATAACTTCACCCGTAAATAAATTTCTTAGGTTACATATTTGAAACATCAATTAACATATTTTATTATCTTTTCATTTTAATTTATTGTAAAATAATTAGAATATTTAATTTAGCATCATTAAAAAAATAATCATTATAAGATTTAATTTTTTTAATTTAATTATTTATCATAATACTTTTAGTTATCGTATTGACAAAAAAATATATTTTTGATTAAAATAAATTTTAAAATTATTTATGATTAAAATATATTTTAAAATTTTATTTAATTCATTATAATATTTTAAAATAAATATTATTAAAAATTGTCATCTTAAATTTTTTATTTTTATAAATTAATTGATGATAAAAAAAATAACATACTAATATATGGTTTTAAATTTGATATGAAAATATTATGATATAATTAGGTAAGATTTTAAATTAGTATTTTATTAATGATTGATAATTAGAAAATAAAACAAGAATAAATACATTTTTGGAATTTTATATCTTAGATTTAAGATGAATAAATATATTAATTTAATTAATAATTTATTTAAAATGTTAAAATTTAATTTATAAAAATAATATTTTAAAAGAGAAGGGTTATAATAACATCAATGTAACTTTTACTAAATGTGAATTTTATAAATTCAACCGTTAAATTAAAAGTTTTCTACTCTTAGGTCATATATACAAAATTTTATATTAATTTAAGATGATTTTATACTTCATTCTTGTAAAATAAAATTGACGTAATATAGTAAAAGTTACACTATTGTATCACATTTAATGAATTATACAAGTAAGTATATTTATAAATAAATATTAATTAAATATAATATAATTATTATTATTATTGGTAATATAATTATTATATATATTTTTATATTTTTATAGCGGTCTGAACATACCAAAATGAGAGGGATCCAAAAATAGTATAAGTATGAGATTGTACTTAAATGAATTAATTTGTACTACTTATACTAATAATATGCATTAGCTTTTCTGTAGCCTATCTCATCAGAACTCCACAATTAAGCGTGCTTGACCTGGAGTAGTATAGGGATGGGTGACCTTCTGGGAAGTTTCCCAGAAAATGTGCAATAAGGACAAAAAAATGTTGAAAAGTGAAGTGTAATGAAATAGCATCATGAGGGTTATTACATTAATAAATTTATTAAAATTAAATAAAAATTTCTTGAAAGTTATTTACGGATAAAATACCTACAGAAAATTCCGTAGATAACATTACCTATAGAAAATTCCGTAGATAATGTTCCGTAGATAACGTTATCTACGGAAAATTCCTTAGATAACGTTATCTACGACCTTATTATCTACGGATTTTTTCCCTAGATGATCCGTAGATAATTGATACTTATCTATGGATTTTCATGTTTATCTACGGATTTTTCCGTAGATAATCTTGATTTTTCTTGTAGTGCCAAATGTTACTTCTTATCTAATTAAGGAAGCTACTTATCACCTTTCAGGTACCAAATAGATGAAGCCATGCATCTGCCAATTCAAAATAGCTTTCTTTTTAGGAATTTCGTGATTCAAGAGTGTTGTACATATATGATATTCCAAAAGAAAATGAGTTCCAGAAATATTTTTATTTTGATTACATTCAATTAATTTTAATTAATTAAGGAAACCTTATTTGAAAATGACAGTTTTTCACATTTCAAATTCAAATTTGATTCTGTCATTAATATCTTACTGTTACAAATTTGGATTATTTTTCTTTTAGTTACCGAATTAATTTCCTTTAATTACCATATTTATTTTCTTTAATTCCCGAATTAATTACGTGATTTTTTAAGGTTTTGAGACTCTATAAATAGAGGCCTCCGGCACACTATTTTCTTACCCCCAAAAATCATTTCTCTCTTCCTTCTTTATGAGTTCTCAAATCTTCTAATTGTCAGTTCTGCTCCTCAATTCCTTGAGACGACCTTGTTGTATCCTGGGGGGCTTGCGTGTATCTCAGGAGAATGTTACTAACGTTTAGTCGGTGTTTCAGGTTACTCATAATTGCGTCCGCCATTTTTATATAACAATCTTAAGGACTTATTGTTGATGGAGGAGGAGTTCGTGGCGAACCAGGAGTGGCTGAAGCCGCATGAGGAGAAGGCCGAGGAAGACAAATCCAAGGTGGATGACCTTAGGGGTTCTCCGATGAGCGTTGATCCCAATGGATTTAATGGGTATATTGATCGGTCCTTAGACATTATGTATTGTTTCTTCTTTATTGGTTTGCGTGAAAGTACAATAAAAAAAACTAGTAGTATGCTCTATGATTTGTGTTTAAAAAAATATAAATAAATAAAAAGTATAGATATAATATTGGAGGCTGATTATAGCTTTGACAAACATAACTAGTGGTATAGTATGATCTTGAAAAGTACTATCACTTAAGAGAAAAGATGAGGTGTGATGAGAGGATGAGAAGAGTAATTGCGAGACATCATATGAGAAATGATGTACGCAATAAATATTTTTAGATTCTCTTAATGATGAGAATATTTAATTATTAATACACCTTATTATTTTTATTAATTTTCATAAATGAGATGAAACTCCCCTTAACACCAATATAATTATATATGATGAGCTTTATGTGATGTTGAACATATTTGCTATATGTTTTGAGATATTGGTTTAAAGTTCTCTCATATTTTTGTGATCATATACTTGATTTGATGACTAGTATATTTTTGTTATTTGCTTTCGAGGTAATACATGATTATATATGAGGTTGACCTACATGACATTACATGAGAGAGAAACTTCATGTTATGAGAAGATAGCTAGTATTGATCTAGTATATTAATTGATTAAATTTTTTAACTGCATAATGAAATGTGAAA